TCCCACTTAAATAATTCGAAGAAGTAAAAAAGTATAATATTATTAATAACATATTCCTAATATATTCATATGTAATAATAGGCCTTTTCTTTTGTAAGCATATTACATAAGAACAACTGCTTATTTTAAAAATAACATTTAAAACAACAACACTGCTCGCTTATTTAGTCCAACCTCTTTGAATTCGCTTAACTAATAAACAGCTTAAATCACATGGTTGCCAAGACAAAAAATTCGTCTATTGTGAACGACTTTTGAAAGTAGCTGCGAAATTTCGACTAAACTGTCAACGAATGACAGTTAACAAATACGTTACTTTTTCCGTTTATTTTTTTACATGAAAAATGATGAAAAATTATATTTTATTCACAATCATGTAAAAAAAATATTTTCACCAATAATTGCAAAGAATTATTATTCATTATCGAAATTTCAACATTAAATTTTATTACTTGTTTTGCACATATAAGCCGAACAAAATCCGCATTTTGTTCAGAGTTGCCATCGAGAGTAGTGCTTATTTTATTCGTTTTTTTTGCGACATGCTTACAAAAAAAAGGTCTAATATATTTAAATGCCCAAATTAATATCATTTAGTGGTATCTAATTTTCGACCGCATGGGAATATATAGGAAAAAAGTAATTGAGTGAATTATTTGCATCAAAATTTTAATCAAACTGAGTTTTTATACAAAATTCATACAAAAATGTCTTGATAATGTTTAATTGTTAATAAATCTATATATAAGCAAATTGTTATTCTATCAAAAGCGCTAAGATGTTATATATATACATATATATACAATTAACTTTTGATGGAAATTATATACACATATGCCGTATCATAAATCAGTTTATTTTATTTGTTTTTTTTTTATTTTGTAGTTTCATTTAATTTAAAATTCTATAGTGTCTCATAAAATCATTTAACATTTTCAAAGACCACAGATGATCGACATTTGGCAATAATCAAAGCCGCAGAATGCACAGCCGAGACTGGATTAATTTAAAATAAATTGTTTTTACCATTCTAGCATTCCATTCAATATATAATTAATAATTATTTGCATTTCTATTTAAAATATATTTTAATCGTAATAGCATGGAAACATATCTCTATATACCTATATAAGAATAAATAAATATTTTCATTTAAAAAATATTAATCAACACTACAAACAAAAAAATTCCCGCTCCGTGAATATGACGCTGCTAACGCTTGTGTGAGTTTGCATTTGACATTTCAACAAACGTCAAAAGAAATTTATTCCATTGAATTGAAAAGGTAGTACTTGTCAGTCTGCAATTTTGTTAAGGAATAAAAATGGCAACAGTTTGGTTACATGCTATCCGTCGCCAATTGGCAACAAAAGCCTCTAATCCAGGAACAGCTGCAACTGCTGGCGAGCACTCAGGTAAAGATTTAAAAAACAAAAATAAAGTTTTGTTATGAAAACTGTAGGTTAAGGTTATATAATTTTGTGAGCAAACGTACACCAACTCTAACGAAAAGTTTAATATTTAATTAAAAAAAATTTTAAACTAAATATAATAAGTAAAATTATTGATTATTTTTATAGGTGGCTACAAGGTTTGGAAGCGTTTGTCTTTCTTCGTCGCCCTGCCAGCTGTTGGGTTGTGTATGTTAAATGCTTACTTGAAGCATCAAGAGGAGCACCACAAGCCACGTCCAGCATTCGTCAAGTACGATTACTTGTTCAGACGTGAGAAGCGTTTCCCATGGGGTGAAGGTAACAAGAGTCTATTCCACAATCCACACGTTAATGCCTTACCTGATGGTTATGAGCATTAAACCGATGGTCCATAAACAAAATTGCTATTTCCAAAATTATCAAAGCATAAGTTAAAACCGTTGCAGCAAGATTTATATTGGAACTGGAATAGTTAAAATTATTAATTTATGTCTATTTAGATTAATTGCTGCAATTATTACAATTAACTATTCAAATAAATTTCTGTTCTAAAATAAAATATTAAGCTCTGTATTACTCCTTAAATGGCAAATCAATGCAATCAATGAAGTTGAGATTCATTTATTAATGTTAAAATAAAACTAACAATGAAAATCATTGGAAAATAATTCATATTATGAAAACAAAAGATAGGCGAGTAAATTTGCTGATATTTTCTATAAATACAGAGAAAAACTAATATGGAAAGTGCAACAGAAGTTTAATGCTAACATCTAGATTTATTGCTGTGTTCCATATTGTAGCTGACACCATTTGGAAATCTTAGGAAGAATAGAAAGAATATTTGGAAGAGGTCCCAAGTTATGACCTTCTTCTTATTTTGCACTACAGTCCAGTATGAACCTTGGCCTCCCTAAGGGTTCCGTAGCGGCAAAATTTTTCCGATGCAGGGTTGCTGGCCTTGCGATCAACCCCCAACTTGAAGGGCCAGATCTTCTTATTTGCTAACCCGGAGATAGGATAGGTGTTAAGTAGTTAGAGAATTTCCGCTCAACTATATGTTTTCAGGTTATACCACCTGTACTCGGTCGCCAGAATCTCGTATGTAGAAAGCGCCATAGTGTATATTTAACCAATATATATGTGGTTCTATATATGGTTCTGGTGTTTCATATAAATATATTCTATGGAAAGCAGAGTAGGATAAAGTCTAACTACGATATATGTGATCCTGAACTACGATATATGTATGCAGTAAAAATATTTATTTTATATTTATTAAATATTTATTTTTATTTAATATTTATTTATATTTACTAAAATGAAAGCGGATATGGTCCTAAAAATTTGTGCACCTTAAATATATTTTCTATGGATGATTTAAGTTTACTCAAAATATATGGATTCCTGATAATTAGCGTCCCGTAAAAATATTTTCTATTGAAAGTGTTATCGGGTAACCATAACCAAGATGGTTGTGATCCTGAAGACCTACTATTCCGTAAAAAGATTTTATATAAGAAGTGCAATAAGACGAACCTACCAAGATATTAGTGATTCTTAGACCAGTGTTCTCTTAAAAGATTTTCTATTTTTGAAACGCATTGATGGAATTTGTAAATTAAATTTATGGTTGTTGAAAGTATAATGGATTCACATTATTGTCACAATAATTCTCAAAGGATGCAGTGACGTGGCGACTTGGTTCCCAGCCGTTTCAAAAACTAACCTAAAAAATAATGGATAATTCTAATAGACCTTTGAAAAAGAACTGGTAAGCATACTTACCTATACTAAATTACAAATACTTAGATATTACATAGGAAACTGATAATAAAAGTAAAATTATTAACTTTATCAAAAACATAGTAAAATTATTGATAACTATATATTAGAAATTACTGGTGAGTAATCTTGAATCGATTATTCAAAAATTTGTAGTAATAATAATGCAGCGGTAAGAGTAAGATTCTGATACGCCAATCATAATGAGGTTGATTTTGCAGTGAAAAATCAAAAATTATATATGGATTTAGGCCCGCAAATACCCCTTATTACACCTGCTCAACTTTTTGCAAAGACCTTGATATTAATTGACTTGATTATAAGATCCAATTTAATCCGGAAATTTAAGCAATACTTGTTATGCCAGCTATATCAAAATTTTAATTGATTGGATCGTCTTTACTATGTAGAAACCACCTTGGTACTAATAAAGATTTTATATGAACATAAGATGACGTTTGAAGAACGCCTAATTTACATTAGACATAAGCGTAAGCTTATACTTATAAGCATATAAGGTTTTGTCAAACGTACTATATAAAAGATTGAAGCCAATTGTCAACCAACTGATTGGACCTTATCATCTATTGGACACCACCTATTTGTCAATTTCAAAGTTGCTTTTGACACTACGTCTAGAAGCACTCTCTATGCCGCTATGTCTAAATTTGGTATACCAGTAAAATTTATACGGCTATGTAAAATGACGTTGAGCAACATCGCCAGCTCCGTTAGAATTGGGAAGAACCACTCCGAACTGTTTGATACCAAACGAGGTTTCAGACAGGGTGACTCCTTGTCGTGTGACTACTTTAACCTAATGTTGGAAACGATAATTCGAGCAGCAGATTTAAACCGTACTGGGACAATATTCTACAAAAGTGTAATGCTGCTTCCATATGCGGCAAACAAAGTACTTTCTGTCAACAAAGAAATCTCCTGAGCGTCTTGAGACCCACGTCACTATTGACAATTATAAGTTCGAAGTTGTAAAAGATTTCGTTTATTTAGGAACTTGCTTAAATACCAATTATGACGTCAGCCTAGAGATTCAAAGAACAATCACTCTTGCCAACAGATGTTACTTCAGGCTAAGTAAGCAATAAAGCCCTCTCTCGACAAACAAAAATCACGCTCTATAAATCTCTTATCATGTCTGTCCTGTTGTATGGTGCAGAAGCTTGGACAACTACCAACAGTGATGAGAAGGCGTTAGGAGCATTCGAGAGAAAAATTCTTCAGAAGATCTATGGTCCCTAACGCATTGGCGACGAATATCGAATTAGATGGAACGATGAGCTGTATGAGATAGACCGCGACATTGACATAAAAATTCAGCGATTTCGCTTTCTTGATCATGTCGTGTGAATGGAAGAAAATGCTCCAACTAGAAAGTTGCTTGATACTTTTTCCCGCATGTGGAAAACGCGGTAAAGGACGTCCGCATCTTCGGTGGAAGGACCAGGAGACCAACGATTTGGGGGCGCTGAGTACGCCCAACTGGCGACAGCAAGCAACTGATCGGGCTAACTGGCGGAGGCTATACTTGAACCTCATTCATCATTCATGGTTTCAGGATCCACATGTCAATTTCGACAACCAAATATCGTACACTACTCCTAAAAGCAAATGCACCAGAAGATTTTGACATGCTACTACGACAACATCAAGATGCACGGTGTTTCGATTAGTTCGAATAATGTTTGAGACTATATGACTAACCCAATGCATATATACAATATCTAAGTGTATGAGCAAAGTACAATTAATATTTTTGCAGTTTTTATTGATTAAATTATTTATGATAATATTTATGATATTTACTTTGCACTGTATTATCGACAATATATTATTTAGCCAATACGTAATTAAAAAAAATTATTTTGGCTGTTGCAAACTATATGAAAACTAATATTATAAAGGATATAATTATCAAATGTAAGAATACATCATATATCATATAAAAATGAATTCACTTGACTGAAATAATGAAACTTATTGGATGCAACATACATATATATATGTAGGTATATAACATATATGTGAATTCATTTGCAAATTGAAAATTTTTTTAAAACTTAAATAACGTATGAAAGTACTTGTGGAAGTAAAATTCAGACTTCCTTTTTGCTCGATGTGGGACTGAGTTTAAGTATCATATTTCCGTTCTGTACAAAAACTTTTCCTGCTTTCATCATTGCAGCGGCTTCCGACTTTGATACTACCATTTGTCTAACTTTTTTACCATTGGGCAAAATTTTTTCGGTAAATGGTTTTTGATTTGTTTTCGGAGAGCTCGCAGCATTTTTATCAGTTTGTGGACTACTCCCAGTACTTGTCTTTGCTTCTACAAGTGCTTGTTGAGTTGGGGAATTAGAATTCTTATTAGTTGCCGGCATACTCTTTGGTGATGCATTAGCACGTGTGTTTGGAGAAGTTTTAACTAATTTCGATACTTGTTTTGTTTCAGTGAATTTTGACTTTGCTGGAGATGATGTCTTTTCAGCACCTTTTGGTGATGTCACAACCTTTGGCACTGCAGTAGCAACTGGACTAACTTCACTACCTCCAGCTTTACGTATAGTTATGCCTTTTGGTAAAACTTTTAGAACCGAAGTTAAGGTAGTTTGTTTCAACTTAGGAGACGCATTTCCTGAGTTCACAGTTTCTTGCTGGGTAATAGCTGCAGCCGTTTTAGGATTTCTTTGTCTTACCACCTTCGAAGTTACTGGAATTTTTTTATCAGTAACTTTTGGTTGTTTTCTCGGTGGTTCGATTGGTGGGTCGTCTGAGTCTATATACTGAAACTCTTCACAATTTGTTATAGATTTAGTATTGCGAATTTCATTGGCTCCTCGTTTCTTACTTTGTCCTGGTTGTATAACAATTTGACTGACTATTTTTGGTTGATCGTTTAATACTAAAAAACAAAAAAATAAAAAACTTTAAATTTATAAATTAGCGTGTTGTCGAACATTAAGTTACCTTCCGTTTCTTCTGGTTCCACTTTTATTATATTTTGTTGTTCATTTGAACTACATTCCAAAGGAAACTCGTCAATGATATATTCAACTGCTTCTTGAAACTCTGGATTGCTATCCTCCTTTTCGCTGCCGCTATTTTCCGTACTTTTATTATCACTTTTTGGATCGTCATTATAAGCCTGCATGTCTTCCGCATGATGCTCGAGCACATGAGCATCCAGAGTACTATTAAGGCTAAATTGTAAGTCACAGAAAACGCACGCATATGTTGGATTGTCGGCGTGTTGTTTTATATGTAATGAAACCTCCTCACTAGTAGCGAAAGTTTCCTCACAAAGTGAGCATGTTAGGTTTTTAATTGCGTGAACAGCGGAATGATATATGAGTAATTCTCTCTTCTTGAAAGCTTTATTACAGATGGGACATACATAGTTTTCTTGTTTATGAGAGCGTAAGTGACGAGTCAAATGGTGTGAAAGTAAGTACGATTTTGAACAGAATTTACAAGGATATGGACGTGATCCAGCATGTGCAGTCAAGTGACGAGCCAACTTACTGGGTGTTGAAAAACTCTGATCGCAGTATTGGCAAGGATTCGGCTGTACTCTCGAATGTATGACCTAAAACACACATATAAATATAAAAAAATTTGTTATAATAAAAAATTATTTAAAAAAAAAATTGTAAACAAACCTCATGGCGTTCTTTGCCTTGCTTAAATGCGAATCCCTTATTACAAATCTTACATTTGAATGGTCTATTTTTAAGGTGACGTTCGGTATGTTTTTCCAATTCCTCCTTTGAGAGAAACGGTCTCTCGCAATGTACACATAAATGCTTAGGTACATCAGTGTGGCTTTTCTCATGGCGATATAGTAAAGTAGCACGTGTGAACGCTTTATCACATATTGTGCATTTAAAAGGACGATATCCGGTGTGAATCACACTGTGTTTCTGCAAGTCATATTTCGAGAAGAATGATTTATCGCAATCAGGACATTGAAAACAGCGTTCGCGAACATGATTGGCCATATGAATATCACGCAATTGTCGTAGCGGAAATGAGCGTTCACACTCTGGACATGGAAACACATTTGTTTTCACTGGTCGCGCCTGTTTGATAAGTTCATCTTCTGGTTCATAGTTTTCGCTTGGTACTAGTATTTCTGTAACAATAGCAACGTTACCATCTTCATCACGTGTTACCTGTGGCCTGCTTAATAGCGGCTCAATATCGATTTCTACATCCTTATTCAAAATGCGTATAGAGGACTTATTTAAAAGTTTTGGTTTACCCGTTGGTTTAGGGGTTTCTTCAGCAAAACCATCCGAATCAATAAAACGCTGTACATCATCTATTGAGAGTTCATCATTATTTTCTATTTTGTTCATTATGCTTAAAGCGTCAAATTCAAGTTTTTCCTTTTTTATGCGTATCGGTACCGGCGGTTCAGGAGAATCTGCGGGATCTGCATTCAGCAATTTCTTCACGACAATTTTTGTTTGTTCATCTTTATTGTTTTCCGAATTTTTATTAGTACGATTTATTTGCATTGGATTCTGGTTCAAAATAGTCTTGGATGTAGATTTTGTTACAGTTTGTAGATTTGGTGGCGTTGGTTTTTGTAATGGTTTCGGCCATTTACCAGTGAGTGGATACTGCCGTAGTAGAGTTTCTGCACGTTTACACATTTGCTTAAAGGAATAGCTGTATTCAAACATCAAGCGACAATCACTACAAACTTTGGTCGGCATACCGTCATCACTGAAAACCTACAGAAATTAGAAATATATGTTAGTGTTATCATAATTATATTTTAACTTTTCTAAATCAATAATATTTTTGTCTTTAATTTTTGTAAATTAATCATTCATACATCAATGGAGCATGTCTTCTAAGGCAATCGTCAATAGGATCGACAAATCTTAGAGTATGTAATAGTTGCAATCCAGGTTTTTTAGAAAAACCGCATTCAAAATTTTGGTAAGAGGTCGTAACAATACTTAAATTTGCAAAACAAGCAAAAACTATTTACTGACCACACATATAATCAGGAAGACTTCATAATTAGACAATAGGACCTTTGTGACAACTATCAAACTGAACCTAAACTTTGAAACGTTCATCCCATCAATCCCGGTATCGGTATTGTACCTATTTGGAGGAATGAGCACAAATTGGTCATTTATACATACTAATAAATCCAGAAGATAAATTTGATCGCTTTTTGATTCACAAATAGTATGATTCACAAATGATTCAAAATAGTATGTAAACAAATAATATATTAACATATTTATTATTTAAGGACGTAAACCTACTATTTATATGTACTTAGAGAAATACGTAAGTTACACACAACACACACTATGATGTTTTCGCACAGATTGAATTGATGGCAGAGGTCCAAAATGATCCACGTGAATAGTGTCTAACCGAACAGGTTTTTTGGAATGTTGTAAAGATTGTGTTCATTTACACGTCCTGGTGGAGAACAAATCATACAACGCAAACAATTTTTTATAAACTTCTCTATCTTTGACTTCATATGATGGCACATCTTTTCATGAACGAGACGAAAAACACTGTCTTCCATTTCAGCTGGAATATATAATTGTAAATTATTATCTGTTTTTACTCTAAAAACCAACCCATCTCACTATCCCGGTTTTGTAAAACCTGTATATTGAAATCTAAGTCTTCCTGCTTAGCAACAGCCACCGTTTTACATGGAATTCTTATTATACCGGGCTTATTAGATTTAGTATCATTATCATCGTCAGAGTAGGTACACATTGCAACAAATTTATTTTTAATTCTCGTGAAGTAATCTTCCGCTTCTGTTTCATCACCTTTAAAAAATCGACTTAATGCATCCGCTTGACTCATTGAAATATCGCTTCGATGTTGTATTCTAAAATCAAAGTGCTCAAATAAAAGTGCCTACCTTGCTATTTTTGGACTGATGTTTTTCTTTTCAAACGTTAGTGATAGTGCACTGCAGTCAGTAACTATTTTGAATGGAATTCCTCTGAGATAGTTTTCAAAACGATTGAGAGTGTGCACTATGGCCAAGGTTTCTAACTCGAAGCTGTGCATTCTTAACTCCTCTGACGATGTCTCTTTGGAATAGTACTCGTAACATGCCGGATGAAATTTTCCATCATTTTGTCGCTGCAAAAGTACTGCTCAAAAACATAACTTGCTAGCGTCAGTGTGCAAATTGGTTTCTTTAGTGTGATTAAATATGGTCAAGACAGGTGGTGTCATAAACTTTGCGTTCATAATCTAAACTCTTCTTTGACTTTCTCATCAATGCAGAACTCAACACCAGACCTAAGCAGGCGCTGCAGCGGTTATGCTATCTTAGCAAAGTTTGGAACAAATTTGCGAAAATATGAAAA